TGTTGCATTTTTTGGGCAGGATATTAGAAGAAGAGGTAGTTTCAGCAGCTTTGGCAGATTTTGATGCCAGATGTTTGGACTCGTGACCCCCCTGAGGTTGGTTTGTGTCTCCTCCCCTGTCCTTGAACTTGGTATTTTTCGTTTGCAGCCACTTATACTGGGGATTATATTAATATTATCTTCTCACTAATAAAAATCAGCATTGCTATCTGGCTCAAATCTATGCGGGCTGTGCTGTAATTAGTTTTTATTTTAACTCTGCAATTAATGACTGTGATAAGTGCAGAGTCATTAACTCTGTATTAATGAATCCAAAGACTAAATAACACCTGAACTGTGTCACTGATCAGCCCACCTGCAGCTCCTGTGATACTGGTAGAGTTCAGCTAATTATTTTTGGTTGTTTAGACCAACAGCTTCACTCTCTTAGCTCACCCGTTAATTTAGTTTTCACAGACACAGTGTATTTTACACTGGCAGTTTCACGGCCCACTGCAGACAGACGGCAAACATCTATCAGAGGAACATAGTTTGGCATTTAGCAAAAGAGGGAACTGGACATTTAACAGCTGGAGACAAACAGAACTTTGAGGGTGGTGAATATTCACCAAGCAGCCAAAGGTACGGATGCTGATGTTGCTGCTTGCGCAGGCAACCAAGAGGTTTCCTACAAACATCACTTAGTAATGTTTTCAGATCAAAAGTCCAAATATTCAGGTGTGACTAGCTCTGTAAGTTTTCACATTTAAATACATTTGTGTTCAGTTTCACAAAACACATTTATTTATTTATGCATTTCTTTTAGTTTTTTTAGGTGTTTTGTATAACAAGAATAAAAAGCATAAAGCATATATCAGATGGGTTATGCTCTTTATTTACCCTGCACTGCACCCCTGCTGCTGCTGCTCCATGTATTTAATGGCAGTGGCTATATTTAGCTCTGAAAGAAACTCTTATGAGGAAGTAATAACCTGCAGCATGCGCTATAAATGTGCATTTCTTTTTCTACTGAGCCTCCTAACGCCAGGTGTGAATTCACACTTCTGTGAAGTGTGCTTTGGTTTCCTGATTCAGAGGCATGGAAAGGATGGGAAAATGAAGACTCTGAGGGTTGTGCTGCATGGAAAAAAAACAACATAAACGACATTTTGCACCGATCGGGAGTCGCCATAAAAGCTCAAACCGTCGATCATGTTTGACAGAGCGCCGTAAAAACAACAGCGCTGTTCGTTTTATTGTGTCTGTCGTGAATACGAAGTCTTGTTTTCTCTCTCTGTGCAGGTGAGAGTGCGATGAGGAGAAGTTTCAGAGTGTGAGGCCATGGGCTGCACCTCGGCCAAGCAGGTGTCGGCCGTGCCCAGCGATGAGGAGGGACGCGGCAAGGCCTACAGCAACGGCGACGTCTTCACCGGTCAGTTCGCGAACGGATGTCAATAAAATCTTCACTGCTCCATTTCACTCAGTTGATTGCTCAGCGTGGACCCATTACCCCGCCTGCCCACACAATATACATCCTCATTGTTACAGCTCACGGTACTTCGGCGGAGTGTAAAGTTCTCCAATTCAGACAATAACTGTCAACACCGCCGCTTTTATTGGAGATGTCTGTGTTGACAGTTCGCGTAAGAGAGGAAGTAACCAGTTAGTGAGATGACGGCGTTGAGTCGTGTCCTTCGAGGGGACCTGGCGTGTTCGTTCCATCTCCATATTGCTATTCTTGCGTTTTTATTAGAGTAGAACAACAGAGAAACGTCTTCTCACTGACATCAAATGCTAAAAAAGTAAAAAGTGAAGGTTTCTGAAACTGTAAACGGTAAACTGCTGTCACAAAGCAGACAAAGGGTATTTGATGGGCATCATGAGTCCATACTGCTTTGGTAACCAGCCAGAAAGGTTTGAAAACAGCTGGATTAGCTCAAAAGAACAACAGTTTTAACAATGTTCACTTTCTACAAATGTGTCTCCCAAACACGACCTAATTTTGTAGATTTGATTAATAAAAAATGCAGAGATTCATTAGTAATGAATATACTACAGTCCTTAGTTGCTCCCTTTGCTTTAGCAGCGTGTAGCCGGCTGTTGTGTAATGAGGGGCAGGAATAAAAGCTGGAGCCGGAGAGAGATGATGGGTGGCGGAGGGATTAACAGCGATTAAGAATTAGGAGCAACACTCTGGTATAGCTGCAGGCGGGTGAATGCATGTGGCAGATGATGATCCACAGGAGGTCCCCTCTCTCTGTCTATCTGTCACCCCCCTCTCCCTCTGATCTTTCTAACTCCTCTCCAGCCTCTCACCTCCTCCCTGTAACCCCTCTCTAACTCTGCTCCTGCCCCGTTTCGTGCTCCTCTCTGTTCTCTTTGCCCTCTCGTCTCCCGCTTTGTCTTCTGAGCAGCGCCAGAACACGGCAAGGAGACATGAAGGAGAGCAATGAGATGAACATTTTTTTCCTTGAGAGAGGAAGAGAGTGACGTATTTTGGCGCTGCAGGCCTTTTTTTTTTCTTTCTTCAATCTATTCTCAACTTCTGTGTCTTCCCGTCCCCCCTTTCAAGGCCTCGCTCTTCTCTTCCTTTTTCTCTCTGTCACACTATTTTGGGTCTCTGCACCCCCTTCTCCTCCCTCCTCCTTCTCTTCCTGCCTTCATCTCCCAGTGTTTCTCCCAGCTCTTTTCCTCTCTTCTCTGGCACAACATTAGGTCAGAACCTTGTGTCCTTTCACATCCCCTCCTCCTTCCTCCCTCTTAGTCCCATCCTATCCCCTAGTCTCACTGTCAGTTGGTTAAAGGGAAATCTGAAATGGCAGTGCATGGGTTGGACTACTATTTGAGAGTGTGTGGGGATATCTTTGTGGGGACCAAAAATTGGACGATTACTATACTTGTGGGGGCCAACAGCCCTTATGGGGACCACACATTTTAAGGCATTTTTGAGGCTCAAAATGTGGTTTTAGCGTCAGGGTTACATTTGGGTTATAGTTATATTTAGGGTTAGGGTTAGGCATTCATTTTTGATGGTTAGGTTAAGGGTAAGGGGCCAGGGAAAGCATTATGTCAATTAGATGTCCCCACAAGATATGAATATCCGACG